ATGTGGATATTTTTTTCCAATCGGAAATGAGATCTGTACTCGTCCAATAGGAACTGGTGGGAGAAATTAGTAAACCCGGGTAACTGCACCTTGTCTAATTATTGATACCGTACTTAGAGGTAAGTCGGACAGTCAAATTATTAGATAATTAGATGTGGTGGTACGGGATGAACCCCTTTTTATATATAAAAGGCAATCTGATCATTTCGGAGGTTTTTTCCCAGGCACGAGATCAGCACAACTTGAGGCTTGTAAAATTTGTTTCAACCATACCGATTTGCGCATTCGCACTTTCATTAACGTCTGATTTTGCATATTTGTTAGTAGTTTTGTCTTCTTTCTCTTTTTCTTTATATATTTTCTCTATTCGCCTGCAAATATCATAAACTACTTTCTTAACAAAATGATGCACCCTTACGTTGTTGCAAGCATACTTGTCGGTGGCGCTGTTGTTTGCTATACTGCATATATTCTTTACAAAGAATTAACGGAGGTGCCACAATATGAATATGTTTTCACTGACGGTCCAAGAGCTGGTAAAGATACTAAATGGCGTGCGAGTAATGGCCAAACAAATGATTACGAGAGTAGTGAAGACGAAAGCTTGTCTCTTGTTGGTTCTGAGGAAAAGTCTGGTATTAGGAGGAGAAAAAGGGGATCAAAAGACAAACTCCGAAAAAATTTAAGCAATAAAAGTCATGTAAGTTTGGTGTAATGATTTGATTATGCGTCCCTACATTTATATAATAATAACGCTTTCATTTTATCAGAGTGATGATGATGAGCAAGAACTGCTGGACAGGCTATCATATTTGAATGCGGTAGAACAAGAAATCGAACGTAAAAAACAACAATTAGCCAATGAAGAACGTATTCTCAGTGAAAGAGAACGTGATATCGAAAAAAGAAGGCAAAATTTGTCACAATCTACTCGTTCTAGTCGCTCAAGCTCACACTCTGATTTATGGCAGAGTATAAATTCACCTATTGGTGCTACACACTCCAACCATTCTACAACCTCCACTTCCACCAACGGATTTGATGATGACCAACACGATCAACCATTGATAATCGGAAATCCTGATGTTAATTCTTTGCATTCAGCCCCACCTAGTGCTAAAATGACGAATAGCTCTGTAAACGAAGAGAGTAATTCTCTATCTGACTCATTTGCACACGCAGTCCTTACACAGGACTTGTCACACATCAGCTTGCAGCAACAAATGTCAGACATTAATCCCGCATTCGTAATTCAGCCGCCTGCTCCTTATTCGGTAGCTTCTAATTCGACTGTCTCTTCTAAGCAAAGTTCACACAACGCAATTCAAGAGCCAGAACAACAACTTCAAAAACAACAATTGATGGGATCTAAGGTGTTTCCCGATCAGTCACCCTCCTTATTAAAATCTGTTCCTACAGAAGAAACATGGTCGGAAATTGGGTCTGTTATCTCTGAGAATCTTGGAAGTATTATGTCATCGGTTGTGGATATTGATATGGAAAATATAGAGCATTGACGTTTTTAAATTTCTTATGTATTTTATTTCTCCAAATCAATGAATATTTCTCTTTGTTAACATTGGACATTACCTGTCTCTTTAGATACTAATGTGTGTATACTAAGAGACATCTAAAAGAAAAAATTTTGTACAAATATTTGCACAAATGAATATTCAGACTATATATATTATATACTGATATATATAGAAACAATTAAGATATATAACTGGAAGAAATTTTAATAGTAAGCCTCTTAAAATAGTGTTTTTTATCATAACACTGGGAAAAAAATTAAGATTAATGTTAGAGCAGGAAACGTAATTAAAATTGGATCTGTATCACTAAATTCGTTTCACTCGCTATCAAGAAACATATAACATACTTAAATTTTAATAAATTGCTATCATTAGGTCATACAAAATTGATTATTTCTACTTTAAAAAGTTTTATAAAAAATTATCTGAAAGTTTTTGTAATAAATAAGGTTGTACAAAATTAATTTTTTTATTTTTATTATTTTTTTTTTAAATCAACCAGTTTTACAAAATTGAACTTGTCAGAGCAAGGCTAAAATGTTTGGCAAAAATGCTTGACAAATTATAGTGTATTTAATAACATTGAAGTCCTCAAAAATTATTTGTAGGTGGATATGGAATGTCTGTAGATTCAGAATCAATTTAAAGTTGTTTCTGAATCCGCTTAACTTTAAATGAATTTGAACTCTAATAGAAATTAAAGGTTACGATACGATTTCCAAAAACATTTTCCCGAAAGAACGACCAAATCGGCCGGCATTATAGGTTATAGCTGTTTCATAAATTCTGAAAAATTTTCTGATGATAATTCTGAGTTCGGCCGCAGTCGTTTCTTATTGATTCCGGCTCGATTCGGTCATTAGAAATTTTCAGTTCTCCCAGAATTTGAAAACAGCTGTAATGCCAGTTAACTTTGCCCTTTCGGGAAAATGGCTTCCTGGGACCTGTTTTATTTTATTCCTATTCAAATACTGTATACAGTACTTGTTTTTTATAGTGCAAATCAAAGTACAGTATATTGGTATAACAAAACTGTTTTTAGCCTAAATACATGTATTATTATCATTATTTAGCATATTCAACTATTTTTAATACTATTGAACAACTTTGCTAAAATCGTTCATTTCGATAAAATATTCTAGATTTAATGTAAATTATTAATAATATAGGTCGTCAAGAGGAGTAGCAAATCGCAAATTTAGGCAAATTTAGTTTCTTACTAGCACTATTAACGAGATTTTAACGAGGTTTTTTGACGGAGTATGAAAAATTAGTAATTTTCTATAGTCCGTCAAAAAACCTCGTTAAAGCCTCGTTAATAGTGCTAGTAAGGAACTAAATTTGCCTAAATTTGCGATTTGCTACGAAAATTTCCTCGACCTAAATATAGAATATTTTAGCGCTATCACGATTTTAGCAAAGAAAACTGTATATTAAACATTTTGTATATTTGTTCAACGTTTATATTTTAAACTAGGATTTTATTAGGCCTAAAAATCAAGGGTGCTTCTAGAGGTTTAGTATAAAAATAAAAGTACGTGTTATATATGCAACTTAATTAAATAGTTTGCTTAAATGTTTTATATATACTATATATATATATAATTATAAATCAAAATCCCCGTGTTATGAGCAGAATGTATGACAGGCCAATCATATAAAAACTAACCAATAAAAAGTGCATTTGTGTTTCTATACATAAAAGAGAACGAAATAAAGAAGCGCTACTATACAGAACAGAAAAAGATATCTACTTTTTTCTTAAAAAAGGTAATTATAACTTATCTGTCAACCCTTATTTCTTCTGACTATTAATTTATTTTGAAGAAAAAGATGAGTGAAATTGTAAGGGCTCCCGGGGGCACTATCGTAATTTTTGTGCTGGGTAATTGTTTATAGTTCATTTATTGCTAAATTTGTTTCAATTTATTTACTGGTTATATTCATATTTTGTCATGTAGGTGGACCTGGCTCTGGTAAAGGCACGCAATGCAGTAAAATAGTCAAAGATTTTGGATTTGTTCATTTGTCCGGTGAGTTTTTTTTATTATTATTTATTGGTCATGATTAGGAATCTTATTGTAATAGCAATAATAATATTATTTATATTTAAAAGCCGGAGATTTGCTTCGAGAGGAGCAACAAAATCCGAATTCTAAAGACGGTGACTTGATAAAAACTTACATTAAAGAAGGCTTAATCGTACCTATGGAAATTACCGTTAAATTGATTTCGAAGAAAATGCAAGAAAGCAAATCAAATATATTTTTGATTGATGGATTTCCACGAAAACTTGATCAGGCTGAATTTTTCTGTAAAAATGTAAATAAGTCCATTGTATAGTATGCCAGATTTGGTCACATGACCATATACGTCAGCATTAGCGAAAAGTTCACGTTTAGGTAGTGATGTCGGTTAATGATGGTTGACGCAATAAGTAATAGCATGTGACAATTAGCATCACGTGGTTGCGTCAACCATCATTAATGTCGGTCACATGAGCACTATCGCATCACTACAGGTGCATACATTTGGAATCTTTAACGAAATCCCGAAAGCCTTTCCCTAAAGAACATAATACCGACTAAATCGGCCAGAATTGTAACTAATGCCGGCTAATTTTGTCGGTATTATGTCCTTTGTCTTTCAGAATTTCGCAGCATTATTTGATGCTAGTTATGGATAAAAAGCTGTCCTTAAGCAACATTAACCTTTTCTTTCAATTTATTAATATAAAGGTAGTAGAGCCACATTTCATTCTTTTTCTTGATTGTGATAAAGAAGTTATGAAACAACGTCTCTTGAAGCGTGGAGAAACTAGCGGTCGAATTGATGACAATATTGAAACAATTGAAAAACGATTCAAAGTTTTTAAAGAAGAGAGTTTACCTGTAATCGAATATTTTGAGGAAAAAGAAAAAGTTCATAGGGTGGGTATCTTAAAGTCCAAACTATTTGAGAATGTTTGTTCAATTTTATATCTTATTACTATTTATTGATTTTGTTATTTTTAGATACCTTGTACTGAAAGTCCTGATGAGGTTTATTTAAAGATCAGGCCATTGCTTGAAGGTCTGAGCAAATAATTTATTAGTATAGGTAATTTCATAAATTCTGGCACAACTAAGTTAATATAGAAAGGCAGTATATTATAATATTAAGTTATAAATATTAATTTTATATATTTTATTAAATATTTTTTATAATCAATTTTTTAGTTTATTAAATAATAAATTTATTTATTTATTAATTTATTATTATTTTTTTATTATATAAATTATATATAATTTATTTATAAGACAAAATATTTTTAATAATCTCTTATATATAAATCAAAATTTTTATAAATTTTAAAAATTTTGTTAATACAGTTTTTAGATTAAAAACTAGTAAATAAGAAAAAATATACTAGTTTTAAAAGCATAGTGGATATTTGATTTGATTGGTTTGAAGATTTCTGAGTTACACAATATAAATAAAAATTTTTAAAGTAACCTTTACTATGAAAAACTACATTATCAATTGGCAACTTGTAGTTTTACACAATAAATTTTTTTTGAAACATCTTAAAGTATTTTTTATTTTTTTGTATATCTTTAGTGAAAAAAGATCAGTATAGATCATTATCACTAAAGACTTTATTTAGAAGGCAAATTTAGGCAAATTTAGGCAACAAATAAGGTAATAAGCTTTTAAAATTAGAAAAAATTTAAGTATTATTGGCTAATTTTAGTAAAGTTTTGTGACACCACCAGACTGAGTAAACTTTATATTAATAGAGCAAGAAGGAAAACTTTAGTCACTTTAATACTATACTAAGATAAGATTAATATAACTATTATAGTACAATTATAAAAGATATATAAGTAACAACTTAACCTCCTTTTCATTTTTCCCAACTCTAATACCATGTTGATAATTATAACCAACTGTATTTATCTGCTTAACTAATATATAGTATTTTAATTCAAGTTGATAAAAGTCAAAGCAAGGATATACTAAAAGCAATCAGGTTAGGTTCAAGTTCATAGCCATTAAACTAAATCTAGTATGAGATGATTTGGGGTGAGTTAGAAAGTTCACAAAGTTGTTGTAATAGGTTAAGTTCATGCAACAATGATTGATCTACAGATAAATGTTTTGGAAACAATTATGTGTATGCAAGGGACAGTAATTGACTATAATTAGGTTTATAATGTGAAAGTAACTAATACTAATGCACAATCGGGTAATAATAGAATTAATAATTGTGCTCATGTGATATGATCACGATCAATAATTGTAATTATGTATTGGAAATTAGTGATGTAATTAATGACGATATTTATTATGCAGGGCATAGTTAGAGAAATTAATTGGTAATTAGTTAGTAATATACATAATAAATATAGTTATATTAAAATAGTTAATTTGTAAGAATCTATTTGCATCTAAGGTATATAAAGCGAAGCAATTAGTAAATAAAGGTTTCTTACCCAGAATTAAGAATAAAAACATAACCTTATTTAAAATAACCTTTTAAGTAATGAATGTATTATCTATATGGTTACATTTTTTTTTTTTTTTTAATATTAAGGTGATCACTTAGGCCCTTGGCACTTTATTAGTTCAAGTGAGTAGGCTAGTATTAGTTAATTTTAACACCGGCTTTACATATTATATCAGTATCACAAGAGTACAACTAGTCACATGTACAACTTTTGATTGCCTAATTAAGTAGTCTACCCAAAGCATTAGTGTTATGCTAGAGGTTTTACACTAGCTGTCATACCTATAGTCTAACTAGAAAGCTATCTATTTAAACTCTTTGGCTTCAACCAACATCATATGTTTCCTCCTAATATATCTCTTCACAAGGTAATTTACTGTTAAAGACCCTAAGACTTTAGCCACCAACCTAATTTTGGGGCATTTATCCTTGTGGTAAACCTAACAGAGTGGTGCATATCCCACACATGCGCTCATCTGCATGTTCAGTAACTTTTTCCTAACTAGTACCTGTTGTACTGCCGCCACCAGGTCCGTATCTCAAGCCAACTTTTGGGGTGCTGCTGTAACACAATCTGTATCTCAAGCACAACCTTCCTAATTAGTTGCCAATTACGTACTCCTGCCCTTATAAGGTTCACAACAACCCTGGTACTCGCATTCTAGCCATCTTCTTACTCAGATTCTTTATTGGTCCCTTCTTTACTTCCAGCCGGCAACTCGGATGGATCGGTCTGCTCAGGCTTTAAGTGTCTGAAGAATGCCCTCTCCTTGGTCCATACTTTCAGAGTATATAACCTTTTCCTCTGGTATAACAACCCGGCAGTTCAGCTAGTGTGTTCTCCGCTAGCGGACCTGGTTGCTTGGTTCTCTGATCTCGGGCCTCAGTTCGAATTTAGCCTTCCTGTGATACTATTAAAGATTACTGCTACTCCCAATTTGGGACTTCCCAAATAGGTTTTCGATTATGCTGGTTTCTTGGATTTATTGTGCCAAAGCTTTCATTACGAGATGGTATGACCGAAGTTACAGATTTAGTTCTAGATCCAACTGATAAGCATAGCCGTTAACCAAAACACAAGCCTATTTTTCAAATATTGTCATCTGTGGAATTTGAACTCTAGACCTGCCACTTGGAGAGGGTGATGACTAGACCACTACACTAAGTCGCCACACCTCTTACATAGTTACATTTGATAGCAGTAGAAATAAATTAAACAATAGAAAAACAAGTCTTGATTACTTTGATATATCCACCAAAATGATCAAATTGCTATAACTCAACAACAATTTAATGAGTTTGTTAAGGGTAGGGTAAACGTAAATCATTTTTATATAAAATCATCATACAAAAAAATTTTATGCATGTTTCATAAATACACCACTGATAAAAGTATTTTAAAATTTAGCCAATTTTAGCCAAAAATTTGTAGCATATAGGTCAGATCTTTCTATTTACAATAGTAAAACTTTAAGCCCCTATACTATTTTAAAAAAACTTATATATATATATCGTAAATTTGTCTAGATTAACTCAAATTTGTCTAGATAGTACAAAAAAATTTTATTCGATTGATGTTCTAGAATAAATTATTATCCAATCAATATTGATTTTATTACAAAATAGAAGCTGTGCCAATTTTTTTGAAACTTTGAGTGAAAATATCTCAGCAACCACCTGACTAAATTTAATAAATTTTTTTTTATTTGAATTCTGTTGATTCATAGAATCTAAATAAAAAATTTTTTATCAAGTTTAGCTAGATGGTTGCTGAGTAACCTTCACTCAAATTTTTTTTAAAAATCAAACCATTTTTACTATATAATAGAAAGCTGTGCCAAATTTTTTTAAAACTTTGAACAAAGATATCTCAGCAACCACCTAACCAAATTTAATAAAGTTTTTTTTATTTGAATTTTGTAGATCCATAGAATCTAAATAAAAAAAATTTTATCGAGTTTGACTAGATGGTTGCTGAGAAACCTTTGTTCAAAGTTTTTTAAAAATCAAAATGTTTATTAAAATACAGTAGATCTAAAAAGCTATACCAAATTTTTTTAAAACTTTAAATGAAGATATCTCAGCAACCACCTGGCCAAATTTAATGTATTTTTTTAAATGGTAAAAATAAAAAGAATATAAAATAGCTCTAATACTTTCTTTTATAATCAAATTAAACTTTTTTATTATATATAACTATGATTACGTATTATATTGATTATGCGATATATTATAGAAATTTGAGCATTCTTTTTTATTATTAAAGGGTTTACCCTTATTATATGCGAATGTATCATTTGCAACATGCAAAAAATTATAAAAGTTGCTGATGTTATAAGGCATCATTATTGTAAATGTCTTTTAGTATCACATTATTCTTGTGGCCACGATTTATTAAATAGTTATTGTGCATCTTCGTGTATTAATAAGTGTCTGAATTATCAAATAAAACAATATATAAAAGGCAAAAATATAATAATTTTAGAGCAAATGACAACCTCTATAAGTATCGACATTAAATTTTAAGGTACATGAATAATTTTGTTTATAATGATCATGTACTCCTACCTTCATTCTCGTATTAATATAAGTATACTTATTAATTAAAGTAATTAGAACGTAAGGTAGCGTATAAATAAACTAAAGGTACTAACCCTTAACTCTTCAGATGTTTTCTTAATATTTTTAAAAAAAATCTAATATCCAATTTTATGCTCTTAATAGAGGTCTTAAATTGATTATTAATAAATTTGTAAATTAAAAATCATGTGATATGTATAAATTACTATATACCTGGCTTTAGACGATTCCTCTTAATGACTACATTTCAGTTCATATAATTTATTTTTCCAATTAATTGAATTGTCACATTATATATTTGATCAGTTAGTTTGTGTAAATTAGCAACAATTTAAACTTATTTTTTTTTTACAATGCTTCGTAATCGTTATGTTTCTTTTAAATCTCGTAAAAATTATATAAGACGTCAATTAAATGAGAGAGATACTGGAATAAGTATCTATAATAATTGTAGTAAATTGACGCTTGATAATAATATGTTAAGGATAGAAGATCCTGATAATATGTTGAACAAAGAAGGTTCTAATTACGATGTATTAGTTAAAGATAATTCCGATGATGACATGCTATATGAAGATGATATGTTAAGCGAAGACGACATTCTGAGTGAAGATAGAAATGACATTCTAAGCAAAGATGAAGACATGTCAAGTGAAGATAAAGACATATCAAGCAAAGATGAAGACATGTCAAGCGAAGATGAAGACATGTCAAGTAAAGACGAAGACAACATGCTAATTGGAGATATGTCAAGTGAAGATCTGCTAAGTGAAGAGAAGTTTTGAATGAAGACGATGTATTGAGCAAAGATGATTCTGATAGAGAAATTGTTGATGAACCTTTGAATAATGAAAAAATGCTATTTATTGATGAAGAATTCGTACAATACTTTAGTAATATTACAGAAGCAATGATGTTCTTCTGAATACAAAAGCATAATATATATATGTTTTTTTTTTTTTTTTTTTTTTTTTTTTTTATATTGCCAACATAGAAACTTTATTTTATTTTTATTTTTAAAGGCTTTTCTCTAACATATATACAGTTTCTAATTACATTTGTGCTACTATTACTAGTCA